AAGCTGTCAAGTTACAAGGCCCTTGCATCCCTAACCCTTTAGGAAAAAAAACTCCAGGGGTGTTCAAACATGACAGCTTTAAGACTTTAAAGTTTAGATAGGACTCTTAGAGGTGGGTGGGGCGATTGGCGAACCAGCCAACCAGTGAGCGGTGGGCAGGGCAAGCATGGTGAGGATGGGCGGGGGGAGGGAGCTGGAATCGGTTCCAAATGGCACGGTGGATTTGTGGAACCTCTTCTATAGAAGAAGCTAGAACTGGCAAGAACTCACCCCTGGTTTGAGGGTTTTTAACCAAAGAGATCCAGCTTGAAATTCTTAGCTAGTTAAACCTGCCCCACAGGATTGTGCAGAACAGTGTTTCTTAACCTGAGCATCTTTAAACTGTGTGTCTGCGGAGACCCCTAATCACCTACGTCATGGTTGTTCCAAAGATCCTTTTTCAAAAGGCAACCGGACTTGTGTTTTTCCTTGAACTCCGAAAAGCTACAGCATTTTGGGAATTGGAGTCTACACAGCTAAAAGTTACCATAGATCAGTGTTTCTCAACCTTGGCGACTTGAAGTCCTGTGGAATTCAACTCCCAGAATTCCCCAGCCAGCTGGCTGGGGAATTCTGGGAGTTGAAATCCACAGGACTTCAAGTCGCCAAGATTGAGAAACACTGCCACAGATACAGATTAACAGAGTTGGAAAAGACCTTGTAGGTCACCTAGTCCAACCAGCTGCCCAAACAGGAGACCTTACACCATATTTGACAGATAGCAGTCCAGTCTCTTCTTGGAAGCCTCCAGGGATGAAGCTCCCACAATTTCTGAAGGCAACTTCTGTTGCATTGGTCGATGGTTCTCACTGTCAGAAATTTTCTCCTTATTTCTACGTTGAATCTCTCCTTGATCAGATTCCATCCATTATTCCTTGTCTGTGCTTTGGGGGGAAAAAAAGCTTGGCCCCGTAAGTTGAGGAGGTTTGAGAAACACCCGTGAGCAGGATAAAAGAAGAGAAGGGAAATGACTAAGAGCCATTGTGAGAAATATTTCTTTTTCCCCACAAAAAAAAGACGATGAAAAAAATTAAACCCAGAAATGGTTCCGTTGTGCCTAAGCGAGCCGGGAGTAGTAGAACTACAGGAAAAGGATTCCGGGCTAAGAGGCATCTCAACCTCGGCCTCTGGCCCTTTAAGAGATTCCCTCCCACCCCCACCCTCGGAAAGGCAGACGTTGTGGGTCACGTGACGGTGGCCAGGCGGCGCCTGTCGCGATCAGGTGGAAAGGGCGCGCGGCGGGTCACGTGGTACCAAAAATGGCGGCTCCGGGCGAGCGAGAAGCGGAGGGCTCGGCTGAGGAGGCTTTTCTCACCTTCTACACGGAGGTACCGCGAGCCCGTCCCCGTCCCCGTAGCCCGAAGGGAGGCCTTGTCCTCCTGGCCCGCTTCGGCCGATCCCAGGAGGCTGGGGCCGTTAGTGGTTTTCCTCTAGCCGGGCTAGGCTTCTCCCTCTGGGTCGACTTTCTTGTATAGATCCTGGTTGTCTTGCCGGTCCTTCCTTCCCCAGCTCGGCTCTTCTTTTCCCGGCACCACTTCGGGTTGAGAGGGTGGGAGAAGCGTTGAGCTTGCTGCGCGCGGAGACCTGGTGGGGGGGGGGGGGGGGGGGGGGGGGAGGAGCCTTTCAAGGCGCGGTCTGTTGCCGGGCCCAAACAAGCCGGCTTCTCACCTTTCAGGGGGTTTGCCTTCCTGCCCCGTCGTCGCCATTCGTTACCCTGGCTGGGGCGGATGGAAGTTGTAGTTTGAAGGGCGCTCGGGGCTGATCCCTGCTGGGATTACGGTTGGCGGAGAGCCTATTAAAGGGAAATTGGGTAGAAAAAGAGAAAGGGACAAGGGAGAAAGACAAGGGAGTCCCGTCACTTGCAGGAACTCGGTATGTCTAGTCTGATGAAAAGAAGGACTAGGGGAGATATGATAGCAGTCTTCCAATATCTCAGGGGCTGCCACAAAAGAAGAGGGAGTCAAGCTATTCTCCAAAGCACCCGAGGGTAGAACAGGAAGCAATGGATGGAAACTAATTAAGGAGAGAAGCAACCTAGAACTAAGGAGAAAGTTCTTGACAGAAGAATTAATCTTGCCTCCAGAAGTTGTAAATGCTCCAATGCTGGAAGATTTTAAGAAGACATTGGATAACCATTTGTCTGAAGTGGTGCAGGGTTTCCTGCCTAAGCAGGGGTTTGGACTAGAAGACCTTCAAGGTCCCTTCCAACTCTATTCTATTCTATTCTACTCCACTTGATTGTAGGAGAGGAACAGAGCACTGCTTGCCAGCCAGTTTTCTTATTTTACATCAAATTCTTTTCTTGGAGCCACAGGTTTAATTCTGATCCTTCTTTCATTGCATGTAAAACAAGCATTCGATCAGAAATATATGAGTCACATTTATGTGATGACACATTAACTTTTGCTCTGCAGTCACCTGTGGAAGTTCGGCTGTGTCCTGGTGACTTTGACCCAAACCACTATGGTCTCTAATGTGGTTTCCAACTGCATCATTCTTTCAATTCTTTTCTTTGGTCCTGATCTTCCTGCTCCTTCACTTCTTTGTTTTCTGCTTGATCTCTCACACATCCTTTTGGGTTGATATTGGTTCAGTTTTTCTTTCAAACCAAATCTCATTTGATAGGTAGCACAACTTTAGGATTATAATATAATTGGCTTGTAATTTAATCACCTCATTGACTATTACAGTGACGCTAGCAAGAGAACAGTGTGCAGGTTGTTTGCTTTTGAGATTGCTTCCCATTTTGTAAAAATTATGGATTTTCAAATCTTGGAACGTGTGCATGGGGCTAAATGTAAATCTGCCTTTCTGTTATATTTTGCCCTATGTTCTTTTGTTTATTTTTATTGAACATTATACCAAGTTCAACCGGCACGGCCTCTTAGAGAACTTCAGAAGAGGAGAACGGTCACAACTGTAATAATCAACATATTTTATCCTGTTACATATATAATCATAACTGGGTTTGGACACCAATAGATGGTAGCAAAGAGTTAGATTATCTGTCTTTCTGATGCCATCTAGTGATTCTCTGGTATAGCTAATATCCCTATTGAAATATGAAATAAATTGAAAATAATATAATCAGATACATTTATATAATTCTGCAATGTTTATTCAACGATTTAATTCAGTTGGGTTTATTCAGCATATTTAATTCATTGAGTCACTCTCAATGAAGCGTACATCATAGTCTTCCCTAACAGTGTCTTCCAAATGTGTTGAGCAATAGTTCCTATTATTCCCAATATTTTCTTATGCAGTTTTATGTCAGTGTTGTGCCTTAATCTAGCTGACTTTATCTCCGTTCACAAGATATATTGTCACAATTAGTTGAGGGTTTTTGGATTAACCAAATTATTTTTATTTGTATCCCACCTTTATTACCCAACACATCTTCTGCTTCCTATTTTCCCCACAATTATCTGGTACAGTTCTGGTTATTAATGATGTCCTAATTTCTACAGGTAAAGCAAATTGAAAGGCGAGATTCTGTTTTAACTTCAAAAAACCAGATTGAAAGGCTCACTAGGCCTGGAGCCTCCTATTTTAATCTGAATCCCTTTGAGGTATGTTTAAATTTGTTTTCTTTATTCATTGTCCTATCACTGAAAGGTTTTTTTGTATAGATCCAGTTACTTGAAAGAGATATGCAAACTAGCATGGTCCATTCCTGGAATATTCTGGATATGTACCATTTGGTTTTGCACACAACTAATTATTACCTTGTGTCGTAACAGTCACTTGTGGTAAACTTTTACATTGGCATCTTTTAGTTGCTTGTCGTAGTGGATCATTTCCTTAATATATTTGAGAATCCAATGATTTTCTTTTTGAACCTAAGGTTTACTCATTCTTTTATACCACAAATGGCACCACTCTTGATTCCCTTTAGAAATGAATCGGTGAACTAGCAAGAAGTATACCTAGTTATTTAGGCATTCACTCTAGACATGAAGTATGTTTTGCTGCCAAATAAGAATCCACCCCACCCATTTAAATTCATAGACTCTTGCATTTGTGTCTTGCTGGTTCACTACAGTTATTTTTCAGTTGCTAAGTGTGCTGGAAGGACACATGGGATTGTAACAAGTGGCAGTATGACATGGTACTCTTCAGACTGCCAAGAATCATGTTTTTCAGTCCTTTACTCTTTTTACTAGTTTTCCAGCTTCACCTCAGCATTTGATAACTACTGAGCATGCCTAATTGTTGCTGGATGGCTTTTTGAGATACTCCCTGAAGAATTTCCCTACTGAATGATTTTGGTTTTCTACTTTCTTGATGATTTTAAAAGTTTCTGGAGCATGGAGATAGCTCATTTCATTAATAGTGCTGTTTTGTGTGTTTTCTAAGCAGGACCTTTATTTTTTTTTAAAAACCCACTTGGACTTTTTCAGGTACTGCAATTGGATCCTGAAATCACTGATGAAGAAATAAAGAAAAGATTCCGTCAGGTATGTGGCTTCTACAGTTTGCACGGAAACTGTACATGGAAGAGACCCTCTTGGCAGTTGTAGGAATCGATACATTTATTTGAGAACTGCAGCTCACTGTTTCATTGAACATATGCAACATGCTAACTAAGTTTACAAAGTGCTTTGTAATGTTACAGAAAAATGCATGTATTTGGGGTTATCCCCAATTGCTCTTATTTGAGGGGTTAAAGATCATTCAGTAATCAATGCAGCATGAATAGGCAGAAGATTAGATAGATAAGCATCGAGCATATAATAAAAGAGGAAACCAAAGAATAATTCACCAGGTTATGAGTTGGCAAAGAAATGTTTGGTAACTATTATGCAGACTTTTTGTTTGTTTCTGTTGCATTTTTACTATGTATTTTACAAAATTCCCAAAGTAGCAACCGATTTGAGTGATCTACAAATAAATATTCAATTCAATTCAATTCAATCTTTATTATAGTCACAGACTCCCCCCCACTTCTCATTTCATTTCCTAAGCAGTTAGCAATACTGTTCTGATAGTATTTGTTTTGTTGACAAATTTTCCTCCACAGCAATGCAATCTAGAAACTTGTGTCTGAATTTGGATATTTTGTACTGAAATCACAAATATGAGCACCTAAATATATTTTTATAGGTGTGCTTTTCTAAGATGTTTAATGGCAAGATTGCTAAAATATTCAGTATTATAATATTGAATAAATCACATAGATGACCAATATACAGGTGTCCTTTTAAAAGATTAGTGTGATGCCAATACCTCTGAAAAACACCTGCAATGCTTCTCTAGCTATATAGCATTGAGGAAATTGGCTCAATGAAATTGAGAATTTAGGGAGGTTTTGTCCCAGAAGTAGGTAACTAGGAATGTTTGTTTATTATAATTGCAAAGAAAGGCTTGGCTTATATGATTATTTCCAATGTTTTGATATGTCTGTGTTCTTTCATTATACAGTTATCCATCTTGGTCCATCCTGACAAAAATCAAGATGATCCTGAAAGAGCGCAAAAGGCCTTTGAAGGTACTTCCCTTTTTTTGTTCTTGGCTCAAGATTTCAGACATTAGCAGTGTATCCAATAGGTAATAGGCAATTCTGATGTTAGCATGTAAAGATAAATTACAGGTTTCCTTTTTTGCTAGATCCAAAAAAAAAAACAAATATGCTTTTATGTTTTCTCTAGTAGTATAGATTTTCCAAGTTGTGTGAATGTGCTGATAGAAATGTTTTGTTTGTCAGCTGTTGACAAAGCATACAAGCTGTTGCTGGACCAGGAACAAAAGAAGAGAGCCTTGGACGTGATACAGGCTGGAAAGGAATATGTGGAACACATTGTAAGTATCGCACGTGGCAGCCAGCCTGTGTTCCAGGGGGAGAGATGTGAACTACTGCAGTTGGTATCAGTCTGCGTATTGCTTAGACTGAGAATTATATATGTTTACATTATTTCACAGCTTACCTATATTTTATTGCACCACAACTTTGATGAAGATTAACTGTGATTAGAAAAAGAATTACACATTGTAAAGAATATATTGTGAATGTTAACATCTGCTTTTAAACTTTTAGAATTTGGTGAATTTAGGTTGGAAGATATCTGAAGGATTAATAAAGTGATTGGTCTAATAATGTAAATTTACTTCAAGTTTTTTCTTAAAATTCTGCAAAGAAAGAAATGGAGCTGGGAATGTTGAAGAAAATAAATATATGTTCAGAGTTTTAATATGTTTTCACACAAATTATTAATCTTGGAAGTTGTTAAATGTTTATCAGTAGCTTCAGCCTGTATCTTTTTGTTGGTGTTGTTTCAAGTAAGAAAGAGACTGTTCACTTTCTTGCTATTCACATGGAAGAAATAAAGCTACTGGTCTTTCAGTGCTGCCTTGTTTGCATCCCTTTTCAGTTTGTGAAGAATGACAACTGATGTTACACTGTGGCAGATGTCTTCATTATCTTCCAAAGCCTTCAGTAACCCAAAGATGTCCTTATAGATGGAGGAGTGGTTAAAACAATCAAAAAACGAATGATACAAAAGTTGATGCTTTTTTACTTTTTTACATACATAGATACACACACACACACACACACACACACACACACACACAAACATATATATGGAAGGGACACAGTGGCTCAGTGACTAAGACACAGAGCTTATTGATCAGAAAGGTCAGCAGTTCAGCAGTTCAAATCCCTAGTACCGTGTAACAGAGTGAGCTCCCATTACTTCTCCCAGCTTCTGCCAACCTAGCAGTTCAAAAGCACGTAAAAAATGCAAGTAGAAAAATAGGAACCACATTTGGTGAGAAGGTAACAGTGCTCTGTGTGCTTTTGGCGTTTAGTCATGCCGGCCACATGACCACACAGACGTCTTCGGACAGTGCTGGCTCTTTGGCTTTGAAACAGAGATGAGCACTACCCCCTAGAGTCGGGAGCGACTAGCACATACGCGCGAGGGGAACCTTTACCTTTATATATATAAAGCAATAGGAGCAGTTATTCCTGTTCAGATAGTAGCATACACATCTGGGTAGAATTAAGTTCCATCAAGTATATCTCTTTCTTGTAACACTGGGAAAGTGATCATGTGATATATTTCTTTCTGCAGGCATTCAGATCCTAACAAGTAAATAGACTAGCAAAAATTATGCTTATGAGAGTGATTTCACCAAGCCTTTTGATTTTAGAATGAGCTAGCACAATACTGTACTACGAAGTGCTCTGCAGCTTCCGTGTTCCTTATTTGTGAAATCTCTTTTAGGTAAAAGAGAAAAAGAAACAGTTAAAGAAAGATGGC